CCCCAAAACCCCAAAACCCCAAAACCCCAAAACCCCAAAACCCCGTATATAATTTATTGCTTGAAACAACCTTAATATTAACTATTGTGAGATGCAAACTTTGGAAATTAGAAAATAGCAGATAACAATTCAAGATTGAAAATTACTCTTGATTCTCAGCATTTTCTTGAGCTTCACGCTCAGCTTCTCTTTTAGCCTCTTCTTCCTCTCTTCTTCTTTCCTCTTCTTGTTGGATTCTTTCATTCTTCAAATCCATTGCTTCTTGCCTGTCTTCATCAGTGACTTCATCTTTATTGAACCTTTTAATGGAGAGTTTCTCAAGAAGGATGATCACTTCCTTTTTGAAATCTCCTTCAACTCCTTCTTCGAGGGGAGTTCCAAGGAGATTTAAGCTGCTGAGGTTGTTAAGCACCACAAGATGCTTGACCTCTTCAAGCTTTTCAACCTTGTTTTCCCTAAGGTTGAGATACTCAAGACTTGGAAGATCAGGACATCCAACCAAGGATGCAATCTCGTTCTTACGAGCATGTAGTCTCTTTAATTTAGGGAGCTCTTTCAGTCCAGAGAGAGATTCTATCTTGTTGTCAGCCAAGTATAAATTTTCAAGGTTAGGCATCTTATGCAACCCCTCACAATTCTTTAACTGGTTATTTCTTAGTTCCAATGCTTTGATGCAATTATGACCGGTGAAAGAAGAGCAGTCAGAGATTAAGTTTCCATTCAATAGTAACGTCTCAATGAAAGGAGGATTTATATGAGGAAGTCTTTCTATCTTATTCTTAGATAATTTAAGCTCTTTCAGGAATTGTAGATTATCATTCTTTTCTCCAAGAAAATCAATATTTTGAATTTCATTTTTAGTGGCATCCAACGATCATAAGCGAGGAAGGCTCGCAATACAAGAAATATCTGGAATTTTGTTATTCCCCATTCTGATATATCTGAGATGTTTAAATAGCAGCAGAGCATTTCCAAGATTCTCTAATTTTAATTTTCTTAGATCAAGTGTTGTATAAACACAGCTCATGCCATCTGGTGTTCTGCTGATATCCTCAAGATTCTCAGATATCAGATCAACATTAAGGCAGTTCCTTATCCCGAAGAACTCATTTAGGTCAACTTCTGCTTCCTTCTTCTCTACAATTTCTTCCTCAACCTTAATTTCAACTTTACTGTCTTCTTTCGGCTCTTTTTCTTCTGTTCCTTTGGCCTCTTTTTCTTCTGTTTCTTTCTTCTCTTCTCCCTTCTTTTCATCATCTTCTTTCTTCAGTTCGTTTGCTTCTTTCTTCTGTTCACTATCCTCTGCTTTCTTTTCATTATCTTCTTCCTTCTTTTCATTATCTTCTCCCTTCTTTTCATTATCTTGTCCCTTCTTTTCATCACCTTCTTCCTTCTTTACATTATCTTCTTCCTTCTGTTCATTTATTTCTTCCTTCTTCTCACTATCTTTTTCCTTCTTCCCATCACCTCCCTCTTTCTTAACGGTCTCTTTACCTTCTTGGCCACCTTCCTTCTTCTCACTAGTTTCTTCCTTCGCTTGACTTTCTTCACCTTTAGGCTTTTCAGATTTGTCCTTCTCCTCTTGCTTCTCTTGACCTTCAGTCTTCTCTTTCCCTTCATCCACTGACTTTTCTTCCTTAGGCTGTTCTTTGCCATCCTTAGTGTCATCATCTTGCTTAGTCTCTTCCTTTGGCTGGACTTCTTCGACAACTTCTCCTACAAATTCTTCTTCTAAAGAGGTTAAAGAGGAATGTACCAAGAGTCATTGTTATGGGCATGTTCGGCTTCCCTTCATCGTCACCTGTGATGCCTGCTTTTTTGTCAGTGACTTTGATCTCGACTGGTTCAGACTTAGCCTCTTGAGACATAATTTTATTTTCAATTATATTATTTTTCTCAGGGGTTTTGGGGTTTTGGGGTTTTGGGGTTTTGGGGTTTTGGGG